CTGATGTGTGGGGTCAGCAGGCGCTAAGGAGGGGCTGAGGTGGATGTCGCAGGAGAGCGATAGGGAAGGAGTCGGGAGCTGGGTGGGAAGTGGGGGAGCGATGGGGAGATCATGGGGCACAGTGGAGCAGGGGGCTGAGGCGGCCCTGAGCCTGAGGACCTGCGGTGTGGGAGGCTTCCTGGGAGGTCTGATATTGGGGAGCCGGAGAGGATGAATTGGGAGTGAAAGGGTTGGGACAGTTTTTCCCTATTCGCTGGAAGATTGCGCTGTTTGCCTCTGAAAGAGGATTTGAAGGGAGTTAGATACTTAAGGCTTGTAACGTGACTGAAGGCAAGAGCTGGCTGGTGTTCCAAGAAAATGTAACATAAGGAGACCAGATACCTCTGGATTATGCTGGACTTGAGGCATTATCTCAAATTCCTTGATATTTGTTGTGTAATTGTGGGAAGTATTCCTCACTTTGCCTTTGTGTAAGGAGGTTAACACTGTTTTTCAAAGGATTGAGACTTTCCATTTTTAAAGTCATGCTGAAGCTTCTGAAGGGAATGGCAAGTGGTAGAGATGAAGTTAGCCTGTTGCTGCTCTGTTTTCTTAAATACTTGACTGTTTCTTTCCATGAAGCCTGAAAATAAATTAAAAAATCTGCTGTAGACCTAAGTTTCACATGCTCTATACTCTTTCTTGCAAAACCACACCTGATATACCCTGGAAAGGGTATGAATACTGGTATAATAATTAGCATTTACAATTTAATGCTTCGTAGGTGTGTTTTAATATGTAGCTACAAAGGTGCTTTCTTACCGGTTTTATTACCTGTCTAGCATTATAAGGAGGGGACTTTGTGATCGGGGTATGTAGTAATATGGTTTGTTAACCCCTGGAAAGGAATTTTTTCTTTTTTTTTTTTCCTTTCCTCCCTTTTCCTCCTTTGCCTATATAAATATTGATGGGAAAAATGTTTCTCATGTGGCAAAAATGACCATGAAGACTGAGAACATCTCAGCATCTGGACTGAGTGGTGACACAACCCCACTGTCACTTTTCCTTTGGCTGGTCCATTGTGGATTTCTGTCTCTGAGCGAAGGGTTTGGGCAAGGAACAAGGGTCTGCGCTGGGTGAGACGCCCAGAAAGGAAGCCAGGCAGAGGAGAAGCTGTGTGATAAAGCTCCCATGTTCCATTCTTGATAAGGTTCGGAAAACAAAAAAGCTCAAGCGATTACTGTCTTACAGGGGAATTCCAAGTAAAATTATTTCAAAATTTTGAAAAAGTGTAAATGTCACTATTGCCTGTAGTCAAATGGTGTCATTATCTTCCTGCTTATTCCCTATTTCCATCGGTTGCCTTGGTTGTTTTAGATTGGATCCAGATCCTGCAGCTTGTCTCCAAGCAGGCTGGTTTCTGCAACTGAGAAGAGGGAGTTACACGATTTGGGCTCTCGACTGCAAGTTTCTGGGTTAAAAAAAAGCGTCTGTGGCACCCAGCCCTGTGGGACTTCAGTTCTGGCTGAGTTTGCACGGGAAGTTTGCCATAGACATTACCAGATCAGTGTAGCTGACTGAGATTAGATCTTGACAGAGCTCTCTGTGGTTTTGTGGATGTACGTATAACCCTCTAAAGAGTGATTTATGCACAGAGTGTTCACGCACCCAAGGATTACACAGAGTGACAGGCTACATATATGTGGAGTAACTTGCGCTACCTCACATGCTCACAGCAAAGTGAGTCAGAAGGAAGGGAAACCTCCCGTTCTGGAGGTTGCACCATACTTTTGCATCATCTCTGTAAATCAGTGTGTGAAGTTGCAGGCATCCCTAGTCCAACCGTCCCCTGCAGTTCTGCTTTAGGAGCAGGCCTGTCTCAGTTAGGGTTTCTGTGCTGAAACCTTGTCATCCTTTCCTGAAGATTACTTTTTCCTGAGTACAGGATTCTTTCCAGATAAAACATCTCTTTTCTTCCTTTGCTGCCTAAATCTATGTGGAAGCCACGTTGTTGAAGCCTGCTTAGCGCCTGTTGTCTGTCCTTCAGCGACACTGAGTAGAAAGGCAAGATTACCCCTGGAATGGGGTGGGCTCTGTGGGTGCAGCTTCGCAGCCAAGAGTTTGTTTAGGGCCTGTTCAGGTTTCCAAATGTTGCGTGCCTTGTGTTCTGTGCAGTCGTCCCGCGGTGTAGATGTACCATCGGCCTGAAATTCAGTGAGTCCCACTCTGCTGCTATTTAAATATATGGTAGAAAAGGTGTTACAAAGGAAAACATAGGTTAATGCAGAAATTAGGTATAATTACTGTTTCTGACTCATCCACCAATTTACATTTCTTCAAATATTCAACTACAAACAGCAGAAGTACCCGGGAGAGAGAAGACACGTTTCTGAGATGATCCTCTCCCGCTAGCAGTCTGCGTGCTGCAGGAGCAGCCCTCCCCACCAGCCGTTTGCTGTCCGACTCCGCAAGGGCTCCGGCTTCCCTGGTGCCGCTGTCATAGAAACGCTGAAAATTCACCCCCGTGGTTCTGAAATACCCCTTTTCACAACGGCACTGGCTCCTCCCTCCTCCAGCTTTTCCAAACACAGGCACTTTGTGAAGCTGGGTTACTTCAGAGTCACCAGAAGTCATTTTCTGGGATGTTCTCCGAGTTGCTATGACAGCAGCAGAGTACTTGGCACCCGTGCTGATAAAACAGCAAAGCTTTAGTGCAAGGATCTGTTTTCAACAACATGTGTCACCTCCACGCTTGTTAAGTCAGTATTGGTGGGAGAGAGCGCTACATCACAAGTTATGACATCATTTAAGCCCTTTTGGGCTACTTCTGAGATATCCAGGGACTTTTACAAATAAAAAGTTCCTTTTTGTTTACTGTGTTTTTGCTTTTGAAAAGTTCTAGTGACTAGGATTCTTACTGTTTTAGATTGGGCTTTTACTCTTGTAAATATTTAGTGATTTCCCCCCACCTCGAACATAGAAGTACATGTCAGACTGTTAAACTGAAGGGGAAGCAAAGATGCAGAAGGTAAGGCCTATTTTTCAAAAACATGATATCTGAATTTTTGGGTCCGTTGGTGCTTCTATGCTCAGTCAGAAGCATTTGAGCCTGGTTTTTTTTTCTTTTTTTTTTTCTTTTCTTTTTTTCTTTTTTTTTCCCTAAAATGCTGAGCACACATCTCCAAGTGAAACATATGCTCAGCGTATCTTAAACTTGGACCCACAAAGCAGCTAGGAGCCATCAGTATCCACTTCTGGTCTGACTTACTTGCAGAAAGACCCCCCAGAAAAGGCAGCAGGAGAATGAGAAGTCTGTCTTGACTCTTGAACTTAACTTAACATCATCAGCAAGCAAGCATTGCAGAAAGCACGATGCTGTGATATTCCTGAGCTTCTTGATGAATCAGCATCAGATGCCCAGGTCTCTGCTCCTGGTCTATCCATTATTACATGGGAATTAACAAAATAAATGTTTGTGTGATCATTAAATTAGTCATAACCACAATAATTTATTCCGCTGCCTGATGCAAAAATACAGCAAGCAGAGAAGCATGTCTCCTCCTGCGGTGTAGCTGTAATGCATCCCTTCATGCTTCAGCATCTAAAAAGCCTTCGTTCTCTCTAGTGCCTTCATGTGCTGCCTCATCGCTGTAGCTTGTATGTGATAATTTTGCTCCTGTATTTTTGTAGCTTTCGTCTTTCAGAGAAGCTTTAACCAACAGCTAATCAGCGTAATTTTTAATTGTTAATTTGGCTCACTCTCTGAAGCCGATTAGATGACCTTGCCAAGGAATCAGTGGGGAATTGTTAGAGCGAAGCGAGCTAGCTCAGTGAACTTCCAGCACTCTGGCGTGGTGCCACCCTTGCTATTTATAGGCCTGTAAGAAGAGTCAAGCACTGAAGAGGGCTCCTGATCTGAATACCGGATGACTCGCACACTGACCTGAAACAGAGTTACTGCCCGGGAGCTGCAGAAGTCTGGTGAGCAGGTCTCCATTTTTCAAGTCATTCAGGGCTAGTTTCTTTCTCATCTGCTTATTCAAAGCCACCTGCAATTTCTGCATTTCCCGATCAGTAAGTGCCATAAAGGCTGTGCAGATTACTTCTACAGATTTGCAAGTACTTCAGTTTCTGTCCTCTGCCCAGTGACGTGTGAAACTCATTATTGCTGTAGCTGTGTCATTTCTCACTTCTCGGTGTGATTGTTTCTGTGGTGGATCTTGCCGGTGGATCTTGCTGCTGCAGTTCTGCCCTCAGCCCTGACCTCGGAAGTCTTGCATTGAGTTCTCTTTTATTGGGTTACAGTAAATGCAGAAACAGTGTTATGAGCATTTACAGAGTTCAGCTGCAAAGCTGGAGTCTTTAACTAGATGCTTTAAAATTCTTGATGACCTCTCTTATCTGAAATGCTCGATGATAAATTGGGTGTAACACAATTCAGCTGTCACTGGTATGCTGACAAGGCATGAATCTTCAAGCCTGGGCCAGACCCACCTCTTTCTGTACAAAATAAACCTGGGCTTGTCTTTCTAACAGCAGATCTCAAATCAGGGAGGCTAAAACAGCTCTAAATCCCCTTAAACTTCTCCTGCAGCCCATATTATGCTTTTTGGTCGCTGTGAACGGTGTCTCTCATTGACCAGTTGCGCAGGACTGCTAAATAAACGTTTTCACCCCAGAGGCTAGGGTATATACCCAAGTCTGTGTCTAACACCAGACTTCGTATTGTTTAACGTACGTAGGATATGTTGTTTTCTAATCTCTTCATACAGCTACAACGTTTGTCCAGACTACCATTGTCTCACTCTTGATTATTGCTACATCCTTTCCTCTGCCCTTGAGGACGGTAATCTTGCCCTGCCTGTGTCTTTGCAGAATGCTGCTGCAAAGGTTGTTTCCCCAGCCACGGCTCTCTGTGCCATCCTCCAGTGACTCTTCTTTCCATACCTCATCGCATGTATGCATAGCTTCATTTTTAAAGCCATTCTTAGTCTGTCCCTACTGTCTGTCTTCTCATATCATTGCTGTGAAATCTGTTTTTACCTCTCAGCAACTCATGATGCCAGCCTTCCTCACTCCTTCAGAATATTTGGTGGGTTTAGTGAATTGTAAGTGACTTTTTAGCAAGATTTAAAAAATCAAAATAAAAAGTGACCTTCCTCCAAACAACAATTAGAAATACACGAAGTTCAAAACCTTCTCTATAGGACATTATTTTGGGCAATTTGTAAACTTGTATCGAGGTGCAAAATTGAATATTGACGCTTTCCAGGCTTGGAGCTTGGAGAGAAAGTACATGTTAACATAATTTCAAGCAGCATTGGAATAGTCCTCTCCTGCCTGCTTTAGAGAAAACAGGTGCTTGCACATCAGTAATCTGTACAGAGAAGTTACCAACTGGGTGGTGGGGCTGTTTGTTCACTGAGCTATCAACTCTCAAGTTAAAATCTAAGTAAAATATAAGCCATTTGGTCTGTCTCCAAATCTGCTAGAATAAGTACAGATTCTGCGACAGGTTCGGTGCAGTGGGCTATTGAGAGTCAGATTTTAAATGGGCAGATGCACTTTCTTGTAGAATGTGTTGCTTTGGGAAAAATCATTCACTTACTGAATGAAGCAATGGTTATAGATCTACGTAGAGGTCATGGAGGAACAGAGTGAGTGACTTACTGGCTCTTGTCTCTTTTGCAGTTGGTGTATCCTTATGACTTTAGACTAACAGAGAAAGAGGTAATAAAAATTTTTTTTCTTTTTTCCTGGTTTTAAAGATACTGAGCAGCGGTGATGGAGGTTTTCTTACTGTGTGTTTTTGTTTGTTGCAGAAAACTAGTATCTGCTACTTGTCCTTCCCAGACTCCTACTCAGGTAGGTAGCATCTGTTGGCCTTGCCTGCAGCCTGCGGGATGGTTCGTTGCCGTTATGAAAGAAATGGGTTCATGATGGAAAGAAAAAACAGAGACTGATGGGCTGAATCTTCCAGAGCTGTGACATCAAGGAGCACCCAGCCCTTAGGTCTGAACAAAGAGGCTTCTTGTCATTTTGATTGCTCTCTGGATACAGAATCTGCAATCTAGTGGGTGACGGGACAGTTTCTTGATAAGCTTGAACACTCATGCTTCACTCGTGCCAATACAATATAAAATAAAGTCACGAAGGGTAGGTATGGGCTGAATCTTCCAGAGCTGTGACATCAAGGAGCACCCAGCCCTTAGGTCTGAACAAAGAGGCTTCTTGTCATTTTGATTGCTCTCTGGATACAGAATCTGCAATCTAGTGGGTGACGGGACAGTTTCTTGATAAGCTTGAACACTCATGCTTCACTCGTGCCAATACAATATAAAATAAAGTCACGAAGGGTAGGTTCCCTGAGGTTTGCAGCTGTCGACTATCAGCATTTCTGTGTTTGTGAGTGAAATGCTCAGGGAAGAGAAATAGATGGGGAGAGGATGCTTTCACAGCAGAAATATTCCCAAAGCTTGTATTTATAAATCAGAAAGGTGGCAATAAGAAATAAGCTTGTTAATTCATCCCAGTACCTGTTTCTTTAAGACTGGTTCCGGACTGTTAGTTTTCTACAGCTTTGCCCATTTTAGTTTTAAACATTTTTAAGGATGTACTTTCACTAGTTTCTCAGAGCTTAGTGAACACTCAGGCTAAATGTCCCTTTTATTAAAGTAAATTATTTGCTAATAGTAATATCTTCATAACACACACAACAGTCTTCACTCTTCTTCGGAGCGTAGCATCTGCAGACAGTGGGAAGGGAGTATGTCCTCTTACCCCGTTGTAGTGCCTTAGTCTGTTTAGCCTTGGTTTTTGTTCAGTGAGCTTAGTGTGTTTAACTCTTTCCTCATAACTGACCTCTTTGTACCTACTCAGCCCTACTCCTCCTGCCCATCCAACTGATGAAGCCTCCTGAGGACTTCATGCTTCTTTTTTTTTCTGCTGTACAATGTATGCTTGGTGGTGGGGTGAGCAGTATAGTGTGACCTGGGAGGTGCCCGGCTGCAGTGCTGTCTAGGTCATTTGCTAGAACTATTGTGCAGGGGATTGTCTTTAAAATCTGTGTGGTTGGGTTAAGGCTGTTTGTAGGTTTTTCAGTATGGTGGATAAGAAGTGGTGGCTGCAGCTACTCAGGATTGATGACGCTGGCCAATGTCTGTAGATTTCCCAGCAATGGCCTGGCAAGGTTTAGCTTAATGGTACCAGTTCTTGTGTTCAGCTCTATGTTCCTCCTGTCTTGCACTGGGGTTTTGGGGTTTCTTTATGCTGTTACTCACCACTTCATTTTCAGTTTTGGAGTTCCCTGTAAATCAGCATCCCCGTTTATGTCAGCATTTCAGATTTAAGCAACTTCCAGCTTTCTCTTTACTGAAACTTCTTCGTGAGCTTTTGTGATCTTCTCTGTCTCAGGTGGCCTGGGGGATACTCAATTTAGCTTCCGCCTCCGTCAGTCTGGGGGACAGAGGACCACTCATTACGAGGATGATGGCGAGTACAATAGAGAAGCACCTCTGACGCTGCAGGTCAGTTGCATTTCAGTGCACTTCTTATACCTGCTAAGCAAACAGAAGTGTTACTGGGTTAAAAGCCAAACATACTTTTGATTTGTTTTCTGTGCATAAAATACTTATTTTCTCTGGCCATGGGAATAGTCAGAAAAGGAGAAGGTTTTCAGCACAGGGACTTACTTCCACGTTAATACTCATAGAGGGCTGTGTTGAGAATCCCAGCTACTCTGAGAGATGGAACTGCGTCAGGGGGACCCCAGATTAGAGCAGTGGTCATGTCTAGCTGCAGCGAGAAGATAAACGGTGACACACAGGTGACATCCAACAGAGTGCACAGCTACCTGTGCACGTTTCCCTGAGGCAAGACAAGAATCTCTTTGTCTGTGGTAAATTAGATGTTCACCTCTTTTGTTAAGGGATGACAGTTCTTTTCATTTGTTGCAGGATCTATGTGTATAAAAACAGCCGGAATAATTGGCACGCCCCAAATCCACACTTTGGCTTGCTGTATGCAGGCTGGTTTAACCATACCCAAGCACTAACACAGGGGTATCACACAGTATCACAACACAGGAGTGTCTGTTAGTTGTTTTTCCAGCAGTGAACTATCTGTCAATTTCTTGCAGAGGAGGGATGTGCTGAGCACTGTTACTCCTTTTAATTGAGCAGGTGGCCATCAGATCAACTTGTTCTCTTCTGCTTTCTCCTTTGAGATGATGCTTGCTGTGCATGTGCCTTTTTAACACTTCGGCAATCTTTTTGTGATATGCTTTTGTGATATGCAATCCAGAAATGGATTGCTGGTCTGAGAGGGAGTAGGAGGATTTATTTTCCTAAATTCTGGTCTAGAGGTTTTTCAAGCTTGCATACCTCTTTACTGCTTTGAAGCAATCGGACACTGCCTCACAGATTCACCTAGCTTTAAAGGAGTAAGGGACATAAAACTGCCAAAGTACTGGATTCTGTTGTGGAAAAATAATATTTGGGAAGAGAAAGGTGCCTTAAACCGTGGAGCCTGTGGGGTTTCAAAAATTGATATTAAGGATGGCCTTTGTGTTCGGCACTGATAACTATCCTTCGTCCGTGATGTCTGTGGGAACTTAGAAGGCATAGCATGCTTGAAGTGATTGCTGGGGATTTGTATTAAATCTGTTAGTTGTCATGGATGCTATGAAGGAAGCATCATTCAGCTTTGTGCTTCATCCTGAGCAAAGTTTGACTGGTACTGCCTTAAATGCCTGACTAAAGAGGAGTGCAACGGGTATGGTAGAGGACATTTCCCCCTCTCAGAAGATGATGTATTCCTTCGTCAACAATACATTATCCTCTAGCTGGCAAAGACGACTGACAGTCAGAGCACATCAGTGGCAGCATGGGGTGCCGGGATGAGCTCAGTGGGTTGGCTCAGCTGGTCGTGTTAGTGGAAACCTCAATTAACCCTTTAGATGATGGCCCTGAAGGTGCTGCAGAAAGGGGCTAGTGGGAGGTGCTACCTGGAGGCTGTAATTTTTTTGTGGATTTAGTTGTTTGTATCTCCTCTCTATCTTCCCATTTGGTAAACTCTCCCAGATAGCTGAGCATGGATAACTTTCGTAAATAGGAGGGAGTGCTGTAATCGTATCATAGCAGGAGTGAGGTATGTTGTTGGCTGGAGGGAGTTTGGTGATAGCAGTAATCAGTTTCTCAATAACAGCATTGTTGGCCTCTCTTGCAGCGGGAGTCAGCTCATTATTTTGGTTATGTATACTTCAGGCAAGTCAAGGACAGCTCGATGAAGAGAGGTTATTTTCAGAAGGTGAGTACCGAAACCAGATAGCTTGCTACTCTCAGCTGGTACGTAGCTGTAAAAAGGCACCTATCCATAGCTGTAAAATAGCACCACTTCCTACGTGACACCCACAGGGTTTCTGCAGGAAACAGCAAAGGTCACGGAGAACAGGAATATGTGGAAAGTGTAATTCCAAACAAACCTGGATGTGGTTGCCATGGTGCGTTAATCACATGAGCAGTGACCTGCTGTCTGAATCATGAGATCCTGAAGTACTCGAACATTTGTTTCAGTATGTACTCTAGTGTCACAGATAGTGAGAGGATATACTTCATTATTGCAGTCTGTGCTAGTTATACCTTAACCCTACTCTTATTATTGCTTTAATCTTTCTTCTTCCTAGTAGCCATCTGGGAATGGATTTCCTGCTGGGCTGATTGCTTCTAACTAGCAGCAGTGACACTGCTGGTACCTCACCAACCTTGTCTCTTAAATTCCTTTCACACAGACACTGGAAAAATAATATAAACTGCATGTTTATTTCAGAATAAATATGCAAAGTGCCTTGTATTATTCAGACAGTTATGGTCACTGCCTGAAAAAGACTGAAATTTCAGACTTCTTGTAGAGAAGGAAAATATTTTACTTTGATCATAAGATCCATTTTTCTCCATGGATCCATGGAATTACTCTTTCAGTAGTGTTTTTTCACATCACAAGATAAAATCCCATCCTCTCAAACAAACGTATTTTGAACACCTGCTCTTCAAAGAGCGATGCTTCGTAGTAGATCGGTCTGGTAACTTGCTGGAAGATGGGGACACCATTTTGTCCCAGCAGTTACTTGGCCTGCTGTGCTTTCTCTCCTCCATCTCTAGGCAGTGACATGGAGTTTCTTCCAAAGAGACACGCTAATACAGAAATGAGGTTCTTCACCTCCACTAAAGCAGTGGATTGATCACTCAAAAAGTTGGAGAATTAGAGAAACTGGACAACACGGGGACCTGCTGAA